AAGGCAGTCGCTTAACCAACTGAGCCACCCAGGCGCCCTAAATCACTGATTTTTAAAGGAAGTTTTAATAGTTGAAGCCCGGTAGTAGTAAGCCACATGAGTGATTTTTTTTCTTCTTTCTGTTATGGAGCATTCCAGGCATGATTCATTTAGCGTTTCTGCATAGCAGGATTTATGTAGTTTCTGAAATAAAGAACATAATGTATAAGACTAAAAACTCACTATTTGGTGGCGTGTGTGTACAGTTAAATTACTTTTCATAACTTGGACGTTTCCATCCTTTAGGTGGTTTGTGATGGGGCCACCACGCTCTGGAACTGGAATTCACATCGACCCTCTGGGAACCAGTGCCTGGAATGCCTTAGTTCAGGGCCACAAGCGCTGGTGCCTGTTTCCTACCAGCACGCCCAGGGAACTCATCAAGGTGACCCGTGAAGAAGGAGGGAACCAGCAAGATGAAGCTATTACCTGGTTTAGTATCATTCATCCCCGGACGCAGCTTCCCACCTGGCCACCTGAATTCAAACCCCTGGAAATCTTACAAAAACCAGGAGAGACTGTTTTTGTACCAGGTATAGATGAACTAAGAGAAAGTACATTCTTTGATTTCAGTTATTTGTCATTTCGGAACATAAGTGTATATAGAAGGAATCAAAGAAACCTGTTTGCATGCTGACGCTAAACGAACTGACTGCTTCCCACCTCAGACAGTGATGTGCGGCTGTGTGCTCAAGTGCTTAGGGGGCTGCTCTCCACATCTCTTGTAATCTAAACACATAGTGCCTATTGATAAACTTCTTGTATGTAAAGATTCTACTCATCTTTATGCTTAGTAGTTATCTGGTGTTTCTGTGGACATACTGTAACTTGTGCATATTTCTGTAAATTGGGTTTTTAATACAGTGTAGCATTGGCCGGGCTGAGCCAGGAAATAGGAACTTGGGGCTAAGAGGAAGGACGTCCCCTACCTGATAGGCTAAGTGTTTAGAGTGAGGATATTTAATATTGAAGATAGGTGTTCTTCTTCTAGGAGCTGAAGAACTTGCTGCCTTTACAGTTTTGGATTAACAGGGGTCAACACACTTTTTCTGTAAAAGGCAAAGAGTAAATATTTCAAGCGCTGTGGGCCAGACAGGGTCTGTTCCAACTGCTCAACTCTGCCTATGGAGCAGGAAAACAGCCACAGACAATCCGGAAATGAATGGACATGGCTGTGCTCCAGTAGAACTTTCCACAAATAGGTTGGGATTCCTGGATCAGGAGAAGCATTGACCAGTCTTGATCTCATGTCTCCGAGTCTCTACCTGTCTCACCTATAGATGGGTAGATAGGAACTCTCTATTCATGAGGCTTATGTTGTTTGTGATTGTGCAGAACCAAACCCTATTTATTTAACTGTTTATTTGTTGGATTTCAGGAGGCTGGTGGCACGTTGTCCTTAATCTTGACACCACCATTGCCATCACCCAGAATTTTGCCAGCAGCACCAACTTCCCTGTTGTATGGCACAAGACGGTAAGAGGGAGACCAAAGTTATCGAGGAAATGGTATAGGTGAGAGACATTTTTTTTCTTATCTTTGTCTTGTTCCAATTCCTACCCCAGAGGTGAAATGGAAAGAGTCCACTGCTGCAGTAATGTGTGCTGATCTTAGGCCTGGGAGAGCTGGGGCTGCAAAACCGCCCAAGCAGAGGAGAGTGGGTCCAAGGTCAGGGCTAGTTCTCAGGATGCTTGCCAGCCTCCAGGTGACAGGGTAAGACTCTGCATGTTTGATCAGTCAGTCAAAACATGGTCATAATTGGGATTGGTTCTCATTTTCTGTTTATTTGTTTTGTTTTATTTTCTGTTTTTGTTTACGTCCCCCCCAAGCTAGCACTAGCAAAGGAAGCCATTTTGTTTGGGTTTTATTTTGGTTCTTTCTTTTTCTTACTGAGAAGCATTATTCCCTTTTGAACTTATTACCTTCAGTTCTTGTGAGTGAGGTGACTGCCCTGGAGACTTAGCTCCTCTGTTTATCCACAGAACAGATACAGCACGGGCAGCGGCAGTGCAAGCCACCCCCAGCCACCCCGTGCCACTGTGTCCCAACCCTGACCTGGAGGGACCAGCTCTCGGGGTAAGAGAGGGATCCTGGCTTGGTCAGTGCTCAGCCTCCCTGCTGAGAGGGCCAGCAAGGGTGGTGGCTTTGTTCTTCCCGGACTCACGGGCACCTGAGGCCCACTTACTCCGTCCCATAGGCCACTGTGTGCTGTGATTTGGTCATCTTAAAGGCCTTACCATACAGCTGGTCTTTTGTCCCTGGTTAGAGTGGATGCCAGATCAGGTCCCTAAGGGGAGGGCTGCTGCCTCTGAAAGTCCAGTTCAGTTTTATCTTCAAGTGAGGGGAACCCTTTCTGTTGCTTGACACTTCTTATTTCTTGCAAACCTAATTGTTGCTACTCGTACAAATAGAATTTAACCAAGCGCAACTGCGGTCATTCAGTGCTGTGTTGTGGAAAGGAAGGGTTTAAAAAAATCAGCTAGGAATGGTTCAGGAAAAAACACAAGGAAGAGAGACTCTTTCTCCCAGGTGGAAAAAAAAAAAAAAAAAGACTAACTCGGGGCAACTTTGCCTCACAGGTCAGCAGCACGGCTGGCTCCTTTGCAAAGGTCATAGTAACTTGCGTGCAGCTAGGTTGCCTTTCAGAAAAGCCTGAGCAGCATGGTAGGGCTTTTGTTCCCAGCCTGTGGATCCGTGTGTCCTCACCACTGTCCAGCACCCATTCTGAGCCAAGGCACCTGACTTCCCAGGTGCTTCTGAGAGAGACAGGCCTCAGCTTTGAGTCCGGGTGATTGTGTGCAGGTGTTGCTGCCGGTCCCAGCGCTGGGAACAATGTTTCTTGTCTCTCAGGATCTTGAAGCAAGAGCACCCCGAGTTGGCGGTCCTGGCTGACTCCGTTGACCTTCAGGAGTCCACAGGGATTGCCTCGGACAGCTCCAGTGACTCCTCCAGCTCCTCCAGCTCCAGCTCATCCGACTCGGACTCGGAGGTGAGGCCTTGCTCCCTCCCTAGGCCCTCGGGGCAGGTCACCCCGGAAACACCAGATGTGACT